AACTGAATTAAATATATCTGATTTAAGGCTTAGAATGTGAACACTTAGAGGTTTTCACTTCAGAGATGTACGCCTTAGTTGTACACTTACGCTGTACACCAGTGCTACCTTAAACATTTGACAAATGGAATGAACTTAAATCATAAATAAAGTCTGAAATTTCCTTAACTTATAGTATGCAATTATGAATAATAATCTAATCCAGAAACCCTTATACACTAAATCGTATACCATAAACTCTGAAAGCTCAACTTATGCTAATCATGCAATGGAAACTCTTCCATTACGAAATTATACCACAACTGAGTGAAATATATCTGATTTAAGGCTTAGAATGTGAACACTTAGAGGTGTACACTTCAAAGGTTTACACCTAGGCTGTACACCAGCGTTACCTTAAACATTTAACAAAGGGAATGAACTTAAATCATAAATAAAGTCTGAAATTGCCTTGATTTATAGTATGCAATTATGAAAAAATAACCTAATCGAGAAACCTTAATACCCTAAATCGTATACCCTAAACTCTGAAAGCCCAACTCATACTAATTCATGCAACGAAAACTCTTCCAACATGAAATTATACCACAACTGAATGGAATATATCTGATTTAAGGCTTGAAGGTGAACACTTAAAGGTGTACACTACAGAGTTGGATACCTTGGTTGTACACTTACGTTGTACACCAGTTGTACACTTAAATCATAAATAAAGTCTAAAATCATAAATATAGTTGTACATTCTCAATAAAATTCTGGGATAAGACTTATAATGTCAGAGTTTGTTATCACACAAAAAAAAAAGATTTTCTCCATAGCACTCCAAATCTTATCATGGTAGCGGTTCCTTACATGATTTTTTGTTGTGTCCTGTGTTGGAACACCGACTATACTTGTTGGGTTTCTTTTTCTTCGGCCCTTCCTAACATTTGAAGATAATGGACTGCTGTCAGTTAAAATGCGCTACCCAACAAATAAACTATTTTATTAAAATTTATTTCTGTCACCGGAATTTCTCCTGTAGATCATTTACATTTAGTAGAGGGACGTCCTGGCGGTCTCTTTATCTTTGGTGGGAAAAGCACAAGGTTAGCTACTTCTACCGGTACGAACCGGGAGTGTAACCCCCTTTGTTGTCATATCCCAACTCGCTTTCAAATAGATGTCGGCAACGAATTCTGACTGATGCAAATCCGAAAACAGTGTTGCAGCAATTGCATGATGGAATGGTATTCCTATTTTTTGGAATTCAAGACATGTGCTAGTTTTTTTTCCAGATTAACACAGCTCCCGTATCCTGTGGTTTTCAGTGTAACCTCAAATTCCCAAGCAGATAGAGGCATCACAGCATAAGCTTTTGCGGCTATAAGATTCTCAGTCAATCGCTTGTCAACTGCAAGAGGGATTTCACCGGTCATTGTGGAAATCTTTCTATGTCTACTCACAAACCAACGGCTTATCATCCGTCTGATGAATTCAAAAAGCGCCATTATTGGGGACTCACACGCATGCACCAGTGCTTTGTTCAGTGACTCCGCTATATTTGAAGACATCAAATTATAGCGTTTCCCCCTCAAAATATGACCTTGTCCAATGGCTGACATATGTTAACTCCAGATAATCCTAGCAACGCTTATCAGTTATTTTGATTTCCTCATAAATTTTCTCAAAGTGGGACTTCTTGAATGCCTCTTCTGCCTTGCCTACCAATTGCTTTTGATTCCTTTTCTTGTACTTCCCATCCACATTCCTTTGTAGGTGTACGAGGCAACACCCATGGTGTGCACGTGGATACCATAAATACTTAGCAACATAGATTTGGCTAGCTCTATCGGACACAGTCATTAAATCAGAACCATGTTCTACGATTTGTATAGCTTCTCAAAAAACTAGCTTCATGACTCTTTAGTTTCGTTGTCAACAACTGCTAACGTTATTGGGAATACCTAGAAATTTGCATCTTGTTCACTTGCAGTTAAAAGACATCCTTTATACTTCCCAAACATGTGTGTCTCATCCACCACTAGTACCTTCCGTAGATGCTTCCAACAGTCAATGCAAGATTTTAACGCCATGAAGGCGTACTTAAACCTTGTATTTCCCTTGTCATCTTTTCCCGTTTTTATATCAGTTATGAACCCGGGATTTGCATACTTCACCAAATGGATATATTTGGGTAGCAGCTTGTACAAATTATTTTCAGTTCCTTGAGAAGCAGATGTGCCAACTCTTTCGCTTTCCAACATTTCCAATATGTTGCTGTAAACAAGAACTCACTCCGGAGGGTCTCTGGTAATTTAACTGCACGCGGTCCAGCCTGGAGTCTTTCATATTTTGATCTCATTAGAAAAGCAATTGCTTTAGACATTGCTTGTTTTATAAACTGCGATTTCACATCTGATGTGCATGTATGAGCCAGAGTTGCCTTCCTAACCTGATAAGTTGACGCTTCACCCATTTGCTTAGCCATCACATAAAAATTGCATGTTTAGCAAAGCATTTAACAGTAGCATAGTTTCTCGCATGCTTGTGAAACCTGAACCTGAAAACATGTTTAATAGCAAATATAGCCAAATGGATCTTAAATTCATGTTTGCTATTGAACAGCTTTCCAACGTATATATCAGAATCTTCTAGGATGACGTCAATATCATCCACAGAATAGTCCCTCACTGGGACGTCATGAACTATAGGTTCAACATCCTCAAATCCATAAAGGTCAAATGTTATAAGGAAATTCATGGACGATGGGTCATTCCATGTCTTCTTTCGTCGGGTAACCGTATGATCTAATTTTTTTTTTCATCCACAGTCTCCTTGGGCACCACAACCAAACTGAGGAGCAGGATCTGTAAAACCATCATCATCTGTTTCTGGTATATCTTGTGAAGATTGCAAAATGTCACGAGTAGTAGTGTACAGAGTAGAAGAAAATTGAGGCACAGTGTACGGAGCAGAAGCAAATTAAGGCACTCTGGTTTGCAAGGGTTCTATAGACTCTACAAAATCATCATCATCAACAACAACTTCCCGCTGCTGTGGAAAACGGTGTGAAAATTTTCAAAGGTTCGATGAACCAGAAGCATACCAAGGAACCGGATCAACAAAATCATTGTCATCAACAACTTCCCGTTGATGCTGGTTGGCTTCTTTTGGAGGTGTAATGAGAACACTTGATTGTGAGATGCTCTCCAAAGCTGAAAGCTCAGGTGAATTCTGAAGTGATTCCTTGGAAATGTTATATTCATTGTCAATACCGCCAAAACAACTTCTCGACGATCCTATGTAGTCTCTACCATCATCTATGTAATCTTCACATGATAATGTTGATTTAAAATCTTCAATGTGCTGCTTGTTTCCGGCTGACCCACTGCCTTTGCTACACGAACGATCCATTTTCTTTTCTCCCACCGCCATTCTTTTAGACACTTGACCACGTACACCTACATTTCGTTTTTAGTTGGTCCACCACTTTTTCCCCCACTAGTCCTTCCTTCATCATCCTTTCCATCATTCCAATCGCAGTTCTTTAAAAAAATCATGCCATTCATTGAAATCATAATCTTCCTCATCCTCCTTACCCACTTCCTCAACCCCACCATCTTTTTCCTGCACCGTTTTCTCACTTCCGTTCCTGGTCACATCTGCTTCCACAAATTCCAAAGAACTAACCTTATAGATAGCTTCTATTTCTTCTACATGCATCAAAAGAGTTGCATCATCAAGCACATCTCTTTACCACCTCTCTTCGCAGTACCAGTAACGACACCCCCATCACCTACAACAACTACGGATGTTCTTCCAACTCCCACCGCAATGAAGTTATCAACAACTTTCTCATCTACTTTATTCCTAAATGTGACAAAAATGTTTACCGCCTTGCCTCTTTCCTGAACGAAATAAATATTTTGTGGTCCTCAATGTTGGAAATTTGAAGGGGATACTACCTTTCACCAGATACCGCGCCATGAAGCCAATACGAGAGCTCTACGATCACATGAGCTCCTAGCAGGCAGTATTCCTCTAAGATTCTTTCTTTAAGCTTATCAAGAGCAGTTATCAACTCCACATCGATTGCTCTCCCCAATTCTGTCTTTGTCAATCTTGAAATCCCGATCAGTATTCCAGTACTGAATCCCACAACCAGCCATGACAACGATATAGGAATGATTAACACCTTCAAGAAAACTATGTTTAGCCTAACAAAATGAAGCTAAATAAGTAATAAATGAAGATACCTTAAACAAACACTTAACATCTGAACACAATATCTGCAATAAATGAACTTAGCCATTACTACACCGTAATAAATGATATGGTGTACGGTTACCATATGAAATCTTTACCTTCACTAATTTTACAGCCACCATCAGCCCTAGCTTCCTTTTCTCATCATAATTGTTGAAGCTAACCATAACACCAATGCTAATTTACAGCCATACTTCACCAATGTCTACAAAAAAATGAGTAAATCAGCACTTTGTGAAAGAGATAGAGTTTCTTGTTTTTTGTGGATAAAATTACCAAAATTTGGTAATATCTTAATTTATTAACCACAATTAATGTTCTCCAAACAAACCTATTGACGTGGAACCGTTTTTTCGCGGGAAAAAGATAGTGTTTCTAACTAAGATGGTTGGACAAATCGGCCCATATATCAAGCCCAAACTCGTGCGTGGTGTCCACTGTCTCCTTCGGCAAATGTCTCGGCAGTTTAGTCACATGTTTCTTCGGCCAAAATTACATTCCGCCCCACAAACACTTTCTCAAATTTATTGGAAAAAAGCTAAAACAATCTAACAAATATTCTCTCTGCTACTAGATCGTCCAACCAGGAAATAAAAACTTGGAGTACCCCAACCAGCAAATTACAAACTTAAATTTGTCATTTGCTCTAAATTTCTCTTTTTTCTTTTTAAAGATATGCAGGTTTTGCCTTAAAATTTAGGGTTTCACTTCGTTTCGGCTCGGTCCCAGAAGCAACATCACAGGGATTAAAGATGCCGTCGCACAAGTCATTCATGATAAAGAAGAAGCTGGCGAAGAAAATGAGGCAGAAAAGGCCAATTCCACACTGGATTTGTCTTCGCGCTGACAATACCATCAGGTACAACGCAAAGCGTAGGCATTCGCGCAGAACCAAGCTTGGATTCTAAGAGGTTACATTTGCTTATTGTGGAACTTCTGTTTTGATCTAAGACTTGAGTTTTGTTTTAGTGTTTTATCTATGTTTCGATTGTGACTATCGTTGTTAACGTTTGTGAAAGACCTAAAAATTTAAAAATTTAAGTTACAGGTGTTGTATATTTATTTATATGAATTTTCGCCTGATACCGTGAATGTTTAGGTTCAGTATCTAGTAAACCCGCACAGCACAAAAACAAAAGTACTATAGATGTTTAAATATCTACATAGATTTTAAATTTAGATATATATAATTACAAGCAGATGTACCGTATAAAGTGGTTCTATGGTCTAGCGGTTAGGACATTGGACTCTGAATCCAGTAACCCGAGTTCAATTCTCGGTAGAACCTAATTTTTGTCTTCTTTGTTGTTTTGTACAAATATATTCTGAAGCTTCCCGCATGAAATCAAATAGTCAAGTATTATTTTAATCAACATAAGATCAGATGCAGTCAAAACGCAGTAAAAACGTGGAACTGCAACATTAAACGACACCAACGTTCACCTTTTTTTTCCCGGTATTCAATAAGAAAGACCCGAGAAAACCCATCCTCCAAAAATTACAATTTACAATAATAATTATTTAAAAAATAATAATCCAAATTTAAAAAGAAAAATAAATTTTAAAAAAATACAGTAAAGAGAGAAGAAATAATGATAAATCTATAAATAAAATGAAAAAAATAAACCCATATTCTCCCTTCTAACATAATGCAACCTGTGAGGACTGTGCCTCTGGTTATTATCAACACAAAGAATCGATGAACGAATCATAAAATGCTATCATCTAGCTCTCCCCGTAAGGTTCAGGCACAATCTCACTAGACTGCCGTCTTCTCGACGATGAGTTCCCATTGTTATTGTTCCTTCCACTACTCCCTTGCGACCCCGAGTTTCCATTACCACCACCACTTGTTGTTCCTCCAGCTTGAACAGCTGTTACATCCGACGCGCTCTGCCTCCAGCTCCCAAATATAGCAGCGTTCCAAGAACCCCTAGACGAGTTCGTTCTCAACCGTGAAGAGCCTGAGCCAGAGTTGTTATCCTGTCTCACTACTTTCAATGGATTCTCAAGAGCGTTCACAATGTGTCTCATTAATGGCCGTCGTGTTGGTTTCGGGTTTAGGCATGACTTTGCTATGATAGCCATTGCCCATACTTCTTCTAGAAGATCCTCGTCCACCATTAATGATGGGTCTATGATCTTGGTCACTAGTTCCTTCTCGTTTGTGCTGATGTATCGCAAAGCTTCTTCCATGTATGCTTTTGCTTCTGCATTATCTGGTGAGCTGATCCCGAGCTTCCCCGTGACTAGCTCAAGTAACACTTTGCCAAAGCAGTAGACATCATAGGCACATGTTGCATTTTCTGCACCTGAAGAGAGGTAATCATTCAATCATATTGCTTCAAAGAATCCCAAATTAAATAGATTTGGCTTCATAGGTTCAGACTACAAGTTGAAACACATGTTACTTAAGCCTAATAACTCTTATGTAATACTAGACAAGAAGCAACTAAATTGTTCCACACAGGTATACTTCAAAAAGCTAGACGATTTTGGTTTGTATCAAATACATACCTGAAGAGGATGCTTCAGTCGATCTGCAAGAGGGGGAAAAGAAGCATAAGTTAGACTTAAAAGTGACGAGACAACATAGAGACTTTTGGTTAATGTAATGAGCACTTACTGTGGTAACCGAAGTAAACGAGAAATCCTGCTTTGATAAACATCACCTTGAGCATATACCTCGCTTAGGCTTCCGAGACGTACCTCAAATTTATCGTCAAGAAGTATGCTACTCGCTTGTACATCCCTACATAACATTGACAAACACACACACATGAGTACCCTGGCTTTTGTGCTTACTTGACAATAGAACAACAAATAATCAATGTGTTCCTTGCATCTATGAAACCAAACACTAAACTTCCAATTTAACATTACAAGAAGTTGAGTAGGAGAGCACCTGTGAACTAGAGGTGGCGAACACTCGTGATGCAAATAAGCTAGTCCCTCGGCTGCACCAAGTGCAATCTTCAACCTCGTTATCCAATCCAAAGACTTCAATCCATCGCCTTCGTTATCTGACTTCCTAAACAACGAACTAGCCAAATCTCCGTTCCTCATATACTTGTACACCAGAAGCTTCTGGCTCTCATTCTCCAAGCAGTGTCCAAGAAAAGGAACAAACCTCTGGTGTCCGACTTTACTTAACACCTCAAGCTCTGATATATACCCTTCATTCTTTCTTTCCTTCATATCGATCTTTTTTATAACAATGGGTGTTCCATTATCCAAGAAACCACGGAACAAACTCCCGGAATGGCCATGTTTGATCAGATTGGCTTCATTGAACTCCTCTGTTGCTTGGAGAAGCTGCTCATACCCAAACGCATTGCCTAGACGTGACAAGTCAAAAGTTTGTGCTCCTTTAGGTGGCTGAGAAGCTTCCGTTACAGGTTTAGGCCTATCATTATCCCCTCTTTGAGCAGCTCTGCCTCTTCGACGCATCCATAGAGCCACAAGAATAGGCAAGAGAACGAAAATCAGAATAAAACCAATTCCTCCACCAACTGATGCTAATATAATTACAGTCCTGTGGCTTATCCCTGAAGAAGCCTTTTCCGAAGTAGGTTGTGTGGTGTTGGGACGTCCGAAATCATCAAAGTATAGTCCTTTAGCTGTATAAAACGACGAACAATCTTCTGAAGACTTCTGCGTCTTCTCATTTTGCAGACAGTTCCTGGTAAGAGAGGCGTTTGCTCTGAGCACATAATCTGGAACCTTACCTTCAAAGTAATTACCAGAGAGGTCCATGGTACTGAACCTTGTGAGAATCCGTGTGAGCTCACCGTAGAACATGTTCGAGGAGATGTCCACCACTGCATCGATCTGGTTCATGCCAGAGCTAGAGTTTGGTAGCATTCCTGTGAAGTTGTTCTTAGCAACGTCTAGGATCCGTAACTTAGGCAAAGACCAATATGCATCAGGTAGATCACCAGAGAAACCATTTTCTCTCAGAACTAAACTCTGAAGTTGGCTACTAGAAGCAAACAAATCAGCTGGTAGAGTTCCACTCAAAAGGTTATCACTAATCACCATCTTCTGCAGATTCGATAACTTTCTAAACTCTTTAGGAACTGAACCAGACAATGAGTTGATGCTGAGATCAAGGTCAACAAGATTGACAAGATCACCGAGCTGCGGAGGAATCAAAGAAGAGAAGCTATTGCTGGAGAAATTCAGATAGAGAAGCTTCGATAGAAATCCAACACCAGGAGGAATCGGACCAGTGAGGTAATTAGTAGAAACATCAAGAGTTGTCAGGTTCAACAACAAGCTGAAAGATGGAGGAAGAGCTCCAGTGAGTGTGTTCCTAGAGAGATCAAGCTCAGAAAGATTCAACAAATCACCAAAACTGCTCGGAACCAAACCGGTAAGACTATTACGAGACAGATTCAGACTCCTCAAGCTAGTGAGATTACCGAGTGTTACAGGGACAACACCACTCACGGAACAAGAACTAAGATCCAAGACACGCAATGTCGTCGACAAGGTAACACCAAACCAACCAGGAACAGAACCAGGTAACGCGAATCCAGACGCGTTGAAGTAAGCTAAGCGAGTGAGATTAACAAGTGGATCAACATCGAATCGCGGGTTTTGCTTACCGATTCTTGTCCTCCTGAAACCTGAGATGTTGATTCCGACAACGCTTCCGTTACCATCACATTGTATCCCTCTCCAGACACGACAAGGGTCGCCTTTGATTGGCCAATCGGTTCCTCGTAACCCGAGAGTAGACCTGAGACGAAGTAGAGTGAGACGCTCGTCGAACTGGATCCGTGATTTCGCAACAACAACTACACAGTCGAGCGAAAGTACCAAACAAAATAAAGACAACAACAGTGAGCTTCTTCGATGATCAACCATTGCTCATCTCCCAGTCTCGAACATCGTAACTACAAATCCGAAAAGCAGTGTCCAGTTAAAACCCTAGAAACAATGTTGGATTAAGACAGAGACAGATGTCGAAGTAGTTTTAGTCTGTATCTCGGATCCAATTACAGTTCCTACCTTCACAGAGACATTGAAACACCACACTCTCTCTCTCTCTCTCTCTCTCTAAAATCCTAATTTGGATATAACTAATCCTTAAGACTGGAAACAAATTAGGATTTTTGAAAAATCTTGGAGAGAGGAGAAGATCGAGATTGTTGAGAACACAAATGGAAGACTGTGACACTCCTCTCTTTTTATTTTTTTAGCAAGACACTTCAAATTAAATAGAAAAAGGATTAAAATAGATTTTAATACTCCATAATCAATGTAATGTGATGATACGCATAATGATGAAAGAAGAATTATTACTAGTATCAGAATTTCATTTAACTTTTTGCATTAAATTTAAAACCTAGATGGTTACATTACAGGTGAATGTGATGTCGTTTTATTGTTTGGTTTGATTTTAGGTAAGCCAGTTGCCAATTTCTATAAAACGCTAGGAACAAAAGTTCCCTTTCTCTTTCTTTGTTTTTTCAAAATTAATATTTTAGATTTTGAAAGAGTGATATTCATGTAGTAAATTCGGCATTCTTGAGAAAATGAGGTAAATTTTTTTTTCCAAATTAAAAATATTATATTATTATTATTTTTTTTTAAACGAGGCTATCTTTTTTACTATATGTGTATATTAAAATAATACCTACACATAAACAGAAAATTAAAACCTTTTTTAAATAACCTTTTTAATAAATTATAATCTAAATTATTTGACTTGTTTCAACTACCAAATCATATTATTGTGGGTCACATATATACAACAAAACCAAATCCTCTTTCTAGAAACGAGAAAAGAAAATAAATATTAAAGTTCTCTAGTTTTTTTTCTAACTCAAGAAAAAATTGTGAAACTAGTTTTTCTAACTGAAGAAACAAATTTTGAAACCCAAATTTTGTAAGTCTTTACACTGTGTAAATTTTGGATTAATATAAAGAGAAATAAAGATCAGATGTAGTTTGAGGTCTAAAATTAAAATCTTTTATTTAAATGAAACAGAAGAGTAAAATTTTAGTTTTTTATGATAAAAGAAATTTTGTAGGATAAATATGGTATTTCCTAATTAAGGTTCAATAGTTTTGTTTTAACACTGATTTATTATGATATTACAATTATGAGAAAGATTACATACACTATTCGACAACCGGTAATACTACATGCCTTATGATGATTTATACCTAACTGCATCACCCTCTAGGGTGAATATCTAGATTCACCAATCAGTAGTATTGTGTTATTTATATTTAATATTTTTTAAAGAAGAAAACAAACTATTGACAACTTAAATTATGTTTGTAAAATGAAAAAGATAAATAAGAATATAAAAATACTAGTAGTTGTAAAAAAAAATGTTTTTAATATTTTTAACGCCATGAGCAAAACACTATACCTTCCTAACCTCTAAACTTTTGGTTAAACCCTAAATCTTTGGATAAATCCTAAACACTAAATCTTAAAACACTAAGCCCTTAGTCATAATCCCTTAATCTTAACCTCTAAACCCTTGGATAAATTCTAAACTCTAGGGTTTATGATTTATTCTATAGGTTTAGTGTTTTAGATTTTGTGTTTAGTATTTAGTGTTTTATTGACAGCGTTAAAAATATTTTTTTTTTAAAATTAGTAACTATTAATATTTTTTTATTTTTTCCAAAGATTAAGGGTTTAATGTTTTTAATATTTAGTGTTTAGTGTTTTTTGTTTAGGGTTTAGGATTTATCCGAGAGTTTAAGGTTTATACAAGGGCTTAAGGTTTAAGATTGATTTTATGGTTTAGTGTTTTGATGACGGTATTAAAATTTTTTTTTTCAATTTACTTTTTATTTATTTTTACCTTTTTATTTCAAAAATATAATATAAGTTGACAATATTTTATTTCTTTTTTTTTAAATTATTAAATATGAAATAACTCAATATTATTATGTAAGAGGTTGAACCCAAGAATAAGTGAACCTCTAGGTTCACCAACCAAAAGAATAATGTTATTTTTATATTTAGTATCTTTAAAAAAAACAAAATATTGTCGAGTTATATTATGCTTTTAAATTTTAAAGATAAAAAATAAAATATAATAGTAATTTCAAAAAAAAATTAGATTTTTTTAATACTTTTATCAAAACACTAAATCGTAAACCCTAAATGCTAAACCTTAAAACTCTTCTATAAACCCTAAACCCTTGGATAAATCCTTGATATTTTTTCAAAAAAAAATTAATACCGTCAGCAAGACACTAAACCCTAAAAACTTAACCCTAAATCTTAAACCCTAAACCCTTGGGTAAACTCTAAACCCTTGGATTATCAGAAATCCTAGGGTTTAAGATTAATCCAAGGGTTGAGGATTTACCCAAAGATTTAGGATTTAAAGTTTAGTGTTTTGTTGACGGCATTAAAAATATTATTTTAAAACATTTTCTTGTTTGCCACTACTATTTTTTTAACTTTTAATTTTTAAAATATTATACAACTCCATAATATTTTGTTTTCTTTTTTTAAAAAAATATTGAATATGAAATAATGAAATCTCATAATAAATCTAGTTTGTGGGGACACTATAGACAAGGAGTGAGAGAGACCATTATACAAACAACACATGCACACATCGCTGCCGCCGCTTGGCTGGGCTGGGCTTGGGTCTTGTGGCCTTCAATCTACAATAAGATGTTCTTTTTTTTTTTTAACAATATTAAGATTATTTTTTTTGCATAATTTCCTAGATAAATCCTAACGAATTGTGTCTAATTAGTCTTGATAAATCTAAACATTTTAGATTGTGTCAAGATAATTTCACGAATACTTCCAGATATTAGAATATTTCTGATCCTCTCTTGCGCGATAAACACGAATAATTCCAGGAATATTTTTTCCTTTATCGTTATCCTTGGCTTGTCGATCAAATCTCCTTCCCATATAAATAAGAGAATACCCTCTTCATTATTTCATATACTTCAACACAATTAGAAAGTAGTTTCAGCAAAAACCCTAGTCGTTTCTTAAGTAAGTCTCAAAAGTATTAGTAGTAGTTATAGCTCGCAGATTTTCTTTCGGGTGCAGCGAAACAAACTCATCATGGTTGTATCTTGGAATTCAGAAATCGCATCCAAACCATCTCATATTACGGACGGTTTATTGAGTTAAGAAAAGAGATCAAATCTTGACTTGAATTCTTCTATTACCTTAATGTTTTCTTAAATGTTTTCTTAAACGTTTTCTATCATCATTTTATCATTTATATCGGTTTCTATTTCATGATTTTCAATCAGGATTTTCGCAGTCCTACAATCTTAACTTAATAAATCTGCTTTTTGCTTATCGCTTAAATAAGAATGAATATTGCAAACAATATTTCTATAAAACGGTTTTTAACATGTTTTTTAAAAGAGACCTAAAACAATTTTTTGAATGCTATTTAGAAACACTTTGATCTATAAGACGAATAGTATAATAAAACGATTTACGTGACAGTCTCCGACAGGTTTGCGATCTTGTTTTTCTAAATAAAAACAACAATATATTTGAGATGAGTTCTTGGAACGACTATCACTTATTGAATTGAGTTCTCAATACTTACCACATTTTGTTTTTTTTTTGTGAAAAAAATTAATCATGACTGAGTCAATGAGGCAACTGGTGCAACCAATGAGAGTCAATCTCTTGGGTCTCTACCAACAACAGTTCCGTCTGTTCCTAGCAACATCAACGAACTACAGCCAGATAAGTTCGATGGAACGAACTTCAAACAGTGGCAGAAAATGATGCACTTCTTTCAGACTACTCTGAATTTGGTCGGGTATCTTACTGAAATCAATCTAATGCTACCCTCAGAAAATAATGATCCAAGGGCACTTTCTAGCCTTGAGCATGGAGGCATGGAGACTTCTTATGTAAAGGTTACGTTCAAAACCGGCTGGTGAACCAATTGTCAGTGTTTAAACAATGAGGTCGAATCTTTCAAAGATCTATGGGATACTCTAGAAAATAAATACAAGTCCTTCAATGTAGGCTCTGGGAAATTTGCTACTGAAAAATTTCTCCGACTCGTGACGGCTGATTCACGACCTATTATGAATCAAGTGCACGGGCTATAATTTATTTGTCAAGAGATCGCTGAAGAAGAATTGAAGCTTTGTGAGACTTTTACAATCAACTGCTTCATTGAAAAGCTTCCCTCAGTTGGGAAAATTAAAAGAACTACCTTGGTTACAAGAAAAAGGTCTTGATGTTGGCAAATCTGATCACCAGACTTCAGAATGAGTAACTAAAACATGAAAAAGATGTGCCAACTCATACTCTTGATGTCAATGTCGCGGAGCATAAGAACAAGGGAAAGGCAAGATTTCAAAAATCTGCGCTGAACAAGCTTGCTCAACAAGCACCCATGAATTTCAAGAAACAAGCTAAACAACCCACGAACAACAAATTTGTTAGGAAGTGCAACCAATGTGGCAAGATAGAACATAGATCCTCAGAATGTTGCAGCAAAGCTATGTGGAAAAATCAGGCAAACCTCACTGAAACTGATATGTGCGCTGTGGTTACAGAAACCAGCATGATTGAAGATAACTCCAAAGAGTGGTCGCATGAAACAGGTCCCACTACTCACATTTGCATGGACAGAGCGATGTTCAGTACATGTCAGAAGTCAAAAACTGATAATTAAGTGAAGATGGAAATATCTCCCAGTCCAAGGTTAAAGGTATTGGAAAAGTTGTGTTGAAGATAACTTCTGGAAGGGAGGTTACTTTGACCTATGTGAAGCATGTTCCAGACATGAGGAAGAGTCTGATTTATGGATCTCTCATGAGTAAGAACAGCTTTAGCATCAGCTTGAATCCAACCAGCTGATCCTCAGAAAGAGTGGTGTTTTCATAGG